AAGAAATACGAGGTAACATACTTAGGTGGTAGATATAGCAGCCTGAAAAAAAAATAAAACAAATAAGCATATTAATTAAGGAAATGATAAGCTGAATAAGTAGTAAATTTATTATTTGATTAAAAAAACATTTTAGTTAATAGAAAATGGATTAAATTATAAAATATGAAATTTGAATAAACCTCAACATTTGGTTCACCAATGGCATGATATACATTAGCAAATTTACGTATCCGATGATCAATGCATTCATTAGAAATATGTGCCGCAAAATTGATAGAATCTTCAAACGTAATGAATCTTGCAAATTTTCATCATATCAGTGAAAAAGTTAAGATAGCTACAAGCGTCATGGTTTTTTTTAAGCGTGAAATATACTGAACTGAATAATGGTGACTTTAGTATAGTTGCAGGAGATAAATGGAACGACTTAGGCAACTTAGGCAAAACGACTTGTCAAATTCCACGCGAAACTTCAGGATACAGATGGATTCGATGTGAGTCTATGAGTCTGGTACTTGAAAAACAACAGAAACAACAAAGAGAACAGCTAAGATAGGCACTAAACAAACTGGTGCGAAAGAAGTAAGATGTGAAATTTAAGGATTCTGACTAATCAAAAATATAAAAAAGAAAGGCAGCAGTTAGCATCTGTTTTGATTATTAACAAAAAAGATCAATGTAGAAGCAACATTTAGAAAGTAATAAAAAAACTTACCAAGGAATAAATTGAAAATGAGGATTAAAAGATGCGTGTTTCTTAGTATTAAATTTTTTTCGACAAACAATGGAGATAATACGTAAAATTACATTTTCACTGGAAAGTTTTCCCAAGAAACTTTGTTAACCTAACAATCAGGAAATTATGTGTTCCAGTTCTCATTTAAAGAAAAAAAGGAATGTGTAAAATTTGTTTGTAATTATAATTAAGTAAAACAAGCTTACGATAAGACAGCGAGAGACATCGTCAGTAATATTTGATCACATTTCTGAATCACCACGTTCACAAACCATACGAGTCCCAGAAGAACAGGGACACAAAACTATACCAGAAAGTTCGGAGATCTTCCATGTGTCGGTGGTAGAAGGTTTACCGGTACAATATTATCGTGAAATAGTAAAGACTGCCAGATAATTTATTTGCCGAGCTCAGTGGTTGGGTAATCAAACTCCAATCAAATCTATCCAAATGAAGCGCTTAGTGCGAAAGCGTTTGTCCGGAGGTCGATTTGTCTTG